TGTATTCTGTCTTAGGAGAATTTTTGTAGCTTTAGTGAGATATTCATTTTAGATATGAGACTAGCATGCCAAAAAAAAACAGACAACCATTCGTCCGATATTGTCATCGTGGGTACGAGGCTTAAGTCAAGGTAATCTGAAATTTCTTTTGGTCAGATCATGTTGTACTTCAACTCTGAAGTACAACTATCTATAAATTAAAGTCCAACTCTAGGAAACTTTAAAGTTTTCCTTGAGTGGGGCTGCATTTGCGCTGATGAAGTTAACAGAGCATTTAAGTCTAGGGGAGTTGTTAAAGGAGGTTTACTTTCTCAATCCTTCAGTCCTCCTCGCTGCTAGGTTGGTCCCCGCAGTGTCTTCTCCTCCTAAGGTAGACCCAAATGAGCAATTAGCTTTTGTAGAGTGGATGCAGTCCAACTGCAGTGTAGACCTTTCAAGTTTTCTGAAGTTTGGCTTTAAACATCATGTATTAAAGTGTCAGGTGTTTTCACAAGGCCTGTACACTACACAAGGCTGCTCTAGTAATGAGAAATGTTACAATACTCTGATTCAAAGTCTCCCACGCTGCCATTCAACTATATGTGAATCAGTCCGAAAATTAAAAATGTAAATATATGTGCCTTTCCAAACTCCAATATATTGATTTGATTGCAGCAGCTAATATCATGTGATCCCACACCCAAAATATCCAGTTAGATTAAATACAACCACCGCACAAAGTTAATTACTTCTATATCTAGATAAATGAGAATAACTCAAATTACACCATTGTTCAAAATACAAATATTTAAAAATTCAATATGCTGTGAAAAAAAAAAACTAAATAATAAAGTCCATAATAATTTCTTCCACCTCTACTGTAGAAAGTCCACTTTAAATGTCCATTTCCAATATTAACTCCACCCGCGTTCACAGCAATCCTTTATCTCAAAAGTGCTTCCACCACCTCCTAGTGAGGCCACTTATCTCAGATAGCTGACCTGCATTCTAGGTCAAAACAGCACCTTGCCGTTTAAGGGCACCAATCCACACCACTTTGTAGATGTCAAATTTCCCCACGACTTCTCACTTCTTCGTATAGATACTCATAGGAATAAAAAGAACCTCATTGCGCAATATGTAAAACTCCAAATTACTATTTATTACAATTAAACAAATAACACGCACAAAATAAGTTTACTATATCCAGTGCACGCAGAATAGATTGCCTCTTTAAGTTATTTTCTCCCTTAAGGCTGGGTAATGGCTTCAGATAACTCACCAAGATTGGCGTCTTGTGGTTCCTGAATGTGATGACATCATCTGGCCCTGCTCTTGGAGCTTTTCATCATCCAATTATGACTACTTCAGATGGATCCTTCTTGTTGCTATTAACTCATTGTGTACCAGCAGATTTTAAAAACCTATTTCTTTCCCTTTTTTTTTCATAAATGTACTTGAAGCCTGTTTGTGCTACGCATTACGTGTTTGCCATGCGAGTAGCATGGATGGTACCAATAGGAATGTCTGTTCACACATAAACCTGTTTTAGTTTTCTGTTTTTGGCAGCAGATAATTACCATAGTTGCTTAAAACCATCTGTTAAATAAAGGTATGGCCTTTTTAAAGTGGTTGTAATGGCTGAAGGTTTATTTTTACCTATTACAGAAGGTAAAAACCCTGTGTGCTGCTCCTCCCACAGCCCCCCTGGTACTCACCGGAGCCTCTTCTCAAGCCAGTGATGTTCACAGGAGCCTTGGCTTTTCTGGGTCTCTCTGTCCTTGCACTACATACAGTAGTTGATGGTAGATTTAAAGGAGATTGTACAATCAGATTGTATAGTGTATGGTAAGCTTTACAGAACCCAGAACACTATTCCTTTATTTGGGAGTTTATTTACAGCATGCTGAAATCACTTTGCTGCTAATAAAACTGTTGAGTTTCAAGACATCACCCAGCCTGAGCCTTAACCCCTTGACGCCGACGTAACACAAATATGCGGCCTCACAGAACTGGGCTTTTTCCGTGGGGAAGCATATTTGTGTACCTGTCTGTATGCTGGGAGCGCGCCGCACTGCGTGCTCCCAGCACAAAGACTGCGATGTCACTGAGAGCACCAGGTCCTGGTCTAACGATCGGGACCCAGGACTCCCGATTCCGGGTCACATGATTGCTGTGATAGCCTCTGATTGGCTATCACAGTGATCAGTCACTGTACAGCCTGGCCCCCTTGTGTTTTTCTCTCTATGAATGGAGGAGAGAGATACATTGTATCTTTCTAACTCCTGGCATGTTTGAAAAAAAGATAAATATTAAAAAATAAAGAAAAAATATCTAGATCAAGATTTGACTTAGTTCAGTGTCAGGGTCAAAGGTCAGGATTAAAAAAAAGTGGTATTGGTGTCGGTGTGTTTTTTTTTAGGTAAAAAAAAAAGATAAAAACAAAATGTGCACTATTGTTTTTGGGCTGTACTACGGGTACAAATAACATACACATATATGATATCGCTGCAATCGTCAAGAGCTGGAGAATTTATTTTGGGTTGTTCTTGGGTGGTAGGTTATGGTAGTAACAAACACACAGCTAAAATAAAAAATATATATATTTTTTTACTATTTTGTGCCAGTTTTCCTTTGATAATAGAAAAAAATCAGGAGCTATCCATTACCATTTACCACAAAATGAAAGCCCAATTCGTCCTGAAAAAAACAAGGTATAATTCACCTGGATGTAGTTGATATGTATGGTTTTACTAACACATCAACGTTGCAAAATTGTGCTTAGGCAATTAGATTTGTTTTACCCTTAGGCGTGAAGGTGTTAAGCTAATAATATATGGATCAAAATTTGACTGATTCAGCAGGAACCAGTCATGCTGTCAGAATACAGTGACACAGCGGGGAGGATGTCCCCATCCACCTTGATTGTGTGGACAGGGAAATTAGTGAAGTTTTGGGGGGTTTTTTCGTTGTCAGCTGAGCCATGTATGGTTAGCTTTACGTGTTCATTTATCAAATCTGGTGCAGCTCTGCATATAAACCAAACAGCTTCCAGGTTTTTTTTTCTGTCAAAGCTTAATTGAACAAACTGAATTTAGAAGCTGATTGGCTACCATGCAGAGCTGCATCAGATATTTGCGCTCCCCAGTTTTAGTAAATCAACCCTGTAGTCTTACTCAGAGGCATCCCTAGGGTTGGTGTCACCTGGTGCGGTAACACTTGGTGACACCCCCTCCGACGATCCCCGCAGAATGAATTGGATCTGCGGATTGAGCATAATGGATCGGACACTGATCCATTATGCTCAATCCGCAGATCCGATCCATCCTGCGGGGTTTGTTGGCTTTCTTTACAACTTACCTTTCTTGGAGCGGGTCCGGTATCACCCCGTATAGGTTGCATGCCGACTGCGGGGATCGCCGGCATGCAACCTATAAGGGGTGACACCGGACCCGCTCCAAGAAAAGGTAAGTTGTAAAGCAAGCCTACAATCCCTGAAGGATGGATCGGATCCATCCTGCGGGGATCGTCAGCTTACCTTTTCATGGAGCAGGTCCGGTGTCACCCCGTGTGGTCGGTGTCACCCGTTGTGGGCCGCACTCCCCGCACCTGCCTTGGGATGCCACTGGTCTTACTTTATTTGGTATTGTAACATTGAGGAAGATCAGAACACATTTTCAGGACAATCAATGCTTTAATTCACAAACGATATGACAGCCAAACGTGGCCCTCAGCTCTCCCTAATGTTGCTTATTGCAGCTTTTAGCTGTAGGATTGCTTTGATATAAACCAGGTTTTTTCTGATCATTTGCTTCACTGAACACTTCTTATAAGCAGGAAGTTGATCAATCGAGAGATAAGCATCTTTATTATGTTCCTCTTACAGCATTAGTGTCATTAACAAAGGTTTTATTTTGGTTACATCCTTCTAGGGCTTTTAATGAAAATGCAACATATTAAATGTCAACAAAGAACAATGAATCAATCTACAATGTCAACTGTATTCTAGATGGCATCTATGCTCCTTGAAGAGCACATTAGCATTAGGTTGGAGAAAGGCAAACATACAGTTTTACATATACAAGACAAAAGCTCTTCTGTAATTAAATGGTAAGTCAATAACATTACAGACGTCAACTGTCTGTATCATTTTGAGAAGCCTAGGTGTGGGGTAATAGGAAAACTGCTGTCATAGACCATATTTAGAGATACTTTTTTCTGTGTAAAAAGTACTGAAGCTGTAACTTTTTTTTCTGTATATAAAAATGCTGCAAAAAATACTTTTTCCAGTAAAAAAAAAAGTTTTTTTTATGAGTAAGGTATTTTTATGTTACCCCACAACTATGCTTCTTAAATCTAAAAACCAATATGACATAGACAGTTGGCACCTGTGATGTTATTGACTTATTCAATTACAGAAGAGCTTTTGCTTTTGTAAAACTTTACTGTATTTTGTTTGTCTTTCCCCTACCCAAGGCTTATGTGCACTTCAAACCTGCGTAGATGCCTTCCATAATTATACTGTTGGCATTGTGGATGAATTCATTGTTCTTTGTTGATATTTAATGTGTTGCATTTTCATTAAAGCTTTTTTAATAGACAAGGTTAAGTCTTGGAAAATCACGTGACTTACAGTGTGACTTTGCCAGGTGACTCGAGCATTACTTTGAAGCAACTCTGAAGCAACTTTTAGGGAATGCCTGGGTAATCTTCCTGTAATGTCAGATCCAAGTCACATCAATATAGATGAGGATCCGACTTGAAGGCGACTTTCTTTAAAGTCTATGGGCACAAGTCGGTTAGACGTTGTCTTGATGTATTACAGGAACCTTTTTCTAAAGTCGGAGCGACTTCAGTAGTGCTAATTAAGACAGCTCTCATTGACTAACATGGGATTTCACATGTCATGCAACCTGGGGTCTCACAAGTCTCATCCCAAGTCGCGGCAGTGTGAACCGAGCCTAAAGTGAATGGAAGTATAGGTGCAGCTGTTATCTAACAATGTATGTATTCCTGGACAGGAATTCCAAATGGTGTCGACCTACCAACTCCAATGTGGTGCATGTAGTGACCTCTGACCTTTACCGTTCACTTGGGGATGTCCTCAGAGATGTGGATGCTAAATCTTTAGTTCGATCGGACTTTATCTTGGTCACTGGGGATGTGGTTTCTAATATAAACGTTGAAGCAGCTTTGGAGGAGCACAGGTAAGATATTTGTAAATTTCCTGTGGCTAATTTTATTAAGTGTTCTTCATTATTTTTCATAACTAAGAACTTTATTTCTTTTAGGACACGTCGGAAATTGGAGAAAAATGTTTCAGTAATGACCATGATCCTGAAAGAGTCCTCACCGGGTCACCGCACAAGGTGTCAGGAGGATGATGTTATCATTGCTATGGATGGCAAGACAAAACGTGTACTACTCTACCAAAAGAGCCAGGAATTGAAGCGATACCACTTTCCAACAGTAAATGAATGATCTTTCTCCCAAGCCCTGTGCAAGGAACTAGAAAGACAAATTAACTTAAGGGTTTTCATACAGTAAATAACCTTAGGGTATTGCTAACTTCAAGGCTTGCTTTTGAATTGCTTTGATATGTCTGGGTGGCAAAGCTAAACTACTATAACCTCATTTATCAGTATCATGGGTTTACAGTTCTCAACCCACATTTGTAGACAAACAGAAAATGGTACTACAACGTCTCTGCATGCATATATGCAGCCTAGTATGGCTACAGATGAGACAGGTTGGTAGGTTACAAGACATTGTATAATTTCACTGGAGAGTGTGATCGGGTATTCACTGGGAGAACTTTAAAAATTGATTTTGTTATTGTCTTTGTAGAGTATCTTCCAGAGCAAAACTGATGAAATAGAACTGCGCCATGATTTGTTGGACTGTCACATAAGTATTTGTTCCCCTCAGGTATGGATTGTTTATTTTCCACAGATCAGTCATCTGCAGCTGTATTGTTGTAACATTTTGTAATGTAATTTTTATACATTTTTTTTACCCTTCAATTTCTTAGGTAGCAGAGCTGTTTACAGACAACTTTGACTACCAAACAAGGGATGACTTTGTTCGTGGCATCCTTATTAATGAAGAGGTAAGATATTCAAAGTCTAAGAAGCTGGGTAGACTTAGTGGCATTCCAGTCACACCCTAACTAAGCCTAAATCTACTACCACCCCCATTCTAAGTTTATTCTATTTACCCTGTAAAGAAAAGATCCCTAGATCACATGACTGGTTCCAGCACCAGCTTCAGTGTACAGGAAAGGCAGCGACAATGGTTGCATATTATGTCATCTATAGACTTACTAAGAGGCAGCCATTGTCTGCTGTCCCTCCTCTATACTGAAACTGGTGCTGGATGCTGGTCAGACCAAACCAGAGCGGCTTCAGAATAGGTAAGTATAGACATCTTTTCTTTTACAGGCTAGATAGAATAGTTTAAAAATGAGGGTGGGAGTAGATTTAGGCTTAGTTAGGGTATGACTGGAATTCCACTTGTACGTGATCAAGATTGCTTTACAAGATACATAAGCTATTTAGTACATTTTGTGGCATCAGCAAAGAATAGTTCAGGTCTGGAGATTTCTCCTCTGTTCACTGCATTTTCTGAATGTTTGTCTTGTGTCTGATTTAGCTTATTTAACTATATTTTTGCCTACATGCAGATCTTGGGAAATCAGATCCACCTTCACGTGACTCAGGAAGAGTATGGTGCTCGTGTCTCCAACCTGTCCATGTATGAAGCTGTAAATTCAGATATTCTGTGTCGCTGGTTGCACCCTATAACTCCTGAAATGAACTTCACTGATCAAGATAAACAGAATTACACTCACTCCCGTCACAATATTTACAGAGGGTCAGAGGTCAGTCGTGGCCATGGCAGTATTCTGCATGAGAATGTTTTGATCGGCAGTGGCACTACAATTGGGGCAATGTGTAACATCAGCAATGCCAGCATTGGAAGAAATTGCAGAATCGGTAAGTTATAGGGAGAAATGGGGTGGTTCAATGAATGGTATGGAAATTAAAGTGTGTTTAAATCCCAAACTCTTTTTCTTTAGCTTTGAATAGGAAAGGTGTGTGTGTGTGTGTGTGTGTGTGTGTGTGTGTGTGTGTGTGTGTGTGTGTGTGTGTGTGTGTGTGTGTGTGTGTGTGTGTGTGTGTGTGTGTGTGTGTGTGTGTGTGTGTGTGTGTGTGTGTGTGTGTGTGTGTGTGTGTGTGTGTGTGCGTGCGTGCGTGCGTGCGTTTTCTTAGAGGAGTTTTAGATTTAAATATTCTCAATATAATGAGCTCATCCAGAAGGCTTTAACCTGCAGTTAATCACTTTCATGCCTTTTACTAAAAAAATCAGTACAACAAAATAACATTTAATAGCCCTGATGCTCATAAAATTTAAAAGAACTTGGCCACCACCATTATGGTAAGCATTATTAATGAACTATTGTTCATTTATTTTATTTACTTGTATCCTCCACATTAAGCTCCGATGTGTCAGATGCTCCTAAAATATCTAGAATGTTACACATTCTTTTTTCTCTATTTATTCTGACCCCTGAACTCTGTTAGCTGGGCTGTGTGTTATTTATACCTCTTGACCCTACACTTCCTATATTACATAGTCATGACTCCCTGTATACTTATCTATGTTCCTGCTTGGGAGATTTACCCTCTTATTTGTCCTAATGACTTTGTTGCTGTCAAATTTTGGGGTTGGAACAGGAATAGATGGGATGTCTTCTAGTGGGGGACACTTGTAGTGACAACTAAGAGGATTTCTCTTGACTTCGGAGAGATTTCCTCTCACTCCTGATGTCTACTGGGCTGAAAGTTTGTGTATATGTATGTGAGAGTTTGTGTTTGTTTGAAATGCTTGATACAGGGTACTGTTGTTCTATGAATAAAGGGGTTGGAATCAGTCATGGGGGGTGTATACGCCTAACCCTTGAATTCTGTTCGCTAGACTTTTTTGCTTTCACTCCTGACCCATGCACTCTGTACATGGGTATGATAAGCTGGCACGCTTATCGGGTATTGGTAAGATGATTAGGTGTGCACATCACAAAGGAGGGAGTCGCGGGCATTGGGTGACCTTGTCATCTGCACAAGGAAATTAGAGAAATGGCCTTTTGGAATCTTTCTGTCCCACTCTGAGTGTGCTGTCATAGAAAATTCCCATTAAGGAATTTCTGATAATTTTTTTTTTTTTTTTTTTTTAACATGCAGTTTGAAAAAAAACAAAAATATATAGCATAGATGGGTACACATTTCATTAGAACGCTGAAGGACTCCCCATTTAAATTCCTTTTTTATGCATTCATTAACCCCTTAATGCCATCTCTTTAAGTGGGCTTTATTGCCTGGCAGGTGGGCATGGCTTCTGTATCATGTGGCTCTCACAGCATGCACATGATTTGGAGCCCATCCTGCTGGCTCCCGATCAGTAGCTGTGATTAGTAACTTTCACTGAGTAGATTTGTGTGCTCGGAGCACACAGCGAGCGCGCTCGCATGCCATCGTGGACATGTGTGGCGGCTGGCCGTTAAAGCCCGCCTCTTTTGCCACTACATATATGCATTACATAGTTGACAAGAGATTAAATATGGTTCATATGTAAGAAGTACATGTTGATAAGCTATCTAAATTTGAATATTTAGGCACATAACAAAAGATTTGCATATGTATCTTTTGTTATTTTTTTTTTATTTGTTACATTTATTAAATGTATCTGCATTTCTGATATCTAGGTCCCACAGCATAGCTATTGAAAAATCTGAATTCCTTAGGGTGGTGTTTTAGTAGTAGTTAAATCAAGAGATCTATTGTGGTAACATTTTTAGGACACCTGGAAAGGTCACCTTTATTTATTTTTTGCCTTGAAGTCAGTTTGTTTGTTTTTTTTTTAATTGGTTGCTTGTTGTTTGCATTCTTAAATTGGTAAGCCTAGGTTCACATCTATGCAGGTAGTGCGCCTCATGTATGCGCGGGCACATCAGCCCATTCATTTAAATGGACTTCTGTACCTGTTTTTCTTAAAATATGACTGCATGGTGCTTTGGCCCCATTCAGTTTCACCTGAAATGGGTAGTGTTTTCCAATGCATGAGGATGCCATCAAGATGAAATGGCACCCCCGCATATCTGCAAGAGAACAGCGCAGGAGTGCAGGAAAGCGTGCGATTTACACATGGTCCCACAACTGTGAACCTAGTCTGAAAGCTAAAAAACTGTTCTATGGAAGCAGTCTTTTGGAGCATTTTGCCAAACCTCTGTCATTGTTCATATATTGTTGTTCCTTCCTGCAATGTTTAAATTTTTTTTTTTTTTTTTTTTTTTTTTTTTTTTATCTGTATTTTGCTAGTTTTTCACATTTTATTGTGTAGACCCACAAATACCTGCTCAGCCTGCAAGTAAAGTCAAAAAATTAAAAATACACACTCCTGCGCCACAGAATAATCTCCAAACAAAGGTATGAGATGCTGCTGTACACTAGTGCAAAACACCAAATAATATAAACCAAAATAAACAGCGCAAAACAATACCCAAACAATAAAATTAATTGGATTATTAATTTGGTTTGGGTATTGTTTTGCGCTGTTTATTTTGGTTGCAAGTAAAGTCAACCTAATGTAGCTTCCTGTGATGGTTTGGCAACGATGCTGCACATCTACTGAATTCAGAACAGTTTTCCCTCTCATCTAGGCTGTGTCTGCTTGCTCTGCAGTGGAATGGGAAGGTGTTGCAGAGGAGAGGACATCAGCATTGTTGCTGCTGATCCATAAGCTTGTATCTTGTTAATCAGCACCTGACCACACTTAGTCCCGACCAATGCTTTCTGGATTGACAGCACTGCCTCTTTGGCTGAAACCACCCCACTGTAAGCCCCAGTGTCTTGGGGGGAGGGGGGAGGTGCGGAGTGTGTGAGATACAAATGAAGGCAGATATGGCTTTATCAGGGAAGGTAAAGAAAGTTATTTGTTTATTTTATGTGGCTTGTACATCACATAGTATCCAGTATTAGTGGTACAAAACCATTATGCAGTAGTGGTGCACCGTAATAAAAAATTCAGGGTGCATTTGGTGAAAACCGATATGGACAGTTTTTTTTTATTTATTTTTTTTGTGTAATTGTATTATATTTGACTTTTTAATCATCATGAAATAATGAAATCAGGACATTAAATTAATATTGAATTTAAAAAGTACAATGCAGTAACGCAAAATAACTTTTACTGAAAATAACAAACAAAAATTGGACAGAAAATAAAATGAAATATATAAAAAAAAATTAAAAAACTTAAGTAGAGGCTTTTTTGCATTGAAGTCAGTGGGACGCGATTTTGCATTGAAGTCAGTGGGACGCGATTTTGCATTGAAGTCAGTGGGACGCGATTTTGCATTGAAGTCAGTGGGACGCGATTTTGCATTGAAGTCAGTGGGACGCGATTTTGCATTGAAGTCAGTGGGACGCGATTTTGCATTGAAGTCAGTGGGACGCGATTTTGCATTGAAGTCAGTGGGACGCGATTTTGCATTGAAGTCAGTGGGACGCGATTTTGCATTGAAGTCAGTGGGACGCGATTTTGCATTGAAGTCAGTGGGACGCGATTTTGCATTGAAGTCAGTGGGACGCGATTTTGCATTGAAGTCAGTGGGACGCGATTTTGCATTGAAGTCAGTGGGACGCGATTTTGCATTGAAGTCAGTGGGACGCGATTTTGCATTGAAGTCAGTGGGACGCGATTTTGCATTGAAGTCAGTGGGACGCGATTTTGCATTGAAGTCAGTGGGACGCGATTTTGCATTGAAGTCAGTGGGACGCGATTTTGCATTGAAGTCAGTGGGACGCGATTTTGCATTGAAGTCAGTGGGACGCGATTTTGCATTGAAGTCAGTGGGACGCGATTTTGCATTGAAGTCAGTGGGACGCGATTTTGCAGTCAGTAGGGGGGAGATTTTTCATTCAAGTCAGTAGGGGGGAGATTTTTTTCATTCAAGTCAGTAGGGGGGGATTTTTCATTCAAGAGTAGGGGGGGGATTTTTCATTCAAGTCAGTAGGGGGGAGATTTTTCATTTCAAGTCAGTAGGGGGGAGATTTTATCATTCAAGTCAGTAGGGGGGAGATTTATCATTCAAGTCAGTAGGGGGGAGATTTTTAATTCAAGTCAGTAGGGGGGAGATTTATCATTGAAATCAGTAGGGGGGAGATTTTTCATTCAAGTCAGTAGGGGGCACTTGTTTTTTTTTTCTTAGTGGCAAAACGCAGATAACCCTATTTTCGGACCATAATTCTCAACCCCCGATATATCCGTGCATCACTTATGCAGTTCTAGATGTGTTAGATGTGTAAAAGACTCTAGCCAGTATAACAAAGCAAACCAGCAAGTGTCCAAATAGAATGATCTTATAAAGCCTCAGGTCAGGTTAGCTAGAAAAGACATTTTAAGATCTTCCCACTTTCCACTTTTCTGCAATATTGGATAATGTTGAGCTAGTGTTTGTGATTTGTATTAAAACATCACTGTGAATCTTCGATGTATGTTCATTTGCTTCTACACCGTGAAAAAATGGAGCTGGCGGGATCAGGTTGAGCCAAGGATTTGCATACATAGTATAATTGTGCTGCTTTCCAATTTGGTGTCTTGTCTTGTCCTCCATGTTTTTGATCACCTTAGTGTTGGCTGATTATACACATTGCAGGTTTCTGTTAGTGGATCCTTACTGTAGCTGTATTTATACTGACTGCCTATTACATGAACTCTGTTCACACACCTTACTGTTTCCCTTTTCTTCTGCCAGGTGATAGAGTCATTCTTGAAAGTGTGTCCATTTGGGATGATGTTCACATTGAAGACAGTGTCACAGTGAAGAAATCCATTATTTGCAATAATGTTATTGTGAAGAAAAGCGTGCAAATTAATCCGCACTGTGTATTAACTTCAAAGGTAATAGAGATAATCATTCTGAAAAGTAAAGGTGCATGTAGTGATATTCATAATTAAACACCAAACAAAGGTTTGGATTTATACATTCTGTTCCAGGTGGCCATCTATTTTGTGTCACCCTCCTTACCCCAGTCATCTAGACATCCTTGCTCATAAAAATTCTGGATTAGGTGCCATAGCCACAATGACTTGTGGAACCTGGAGATAAAGAGGATAAAAGACAGTTTTCCCACTCTGCACTGGTACACCTAGAAGCTATCACCAGGCTAGCGGTTTAGTTCTAGGTGCATAGTCACTGCTTAACTAATGAAATGCACAGGCTGTCCTGTGAAGCAATAATGAAGACTGGCAGGGTTGGTATTGGCAGCCAGGAGGGCAATTTGTAAACTTTTATTATATCCAAATATATTGCTGAAAATGTGCAGCAGAATGTGTATGCAGCTACAGTTGTGTTTAAAATAATAGCAGTCAGACATCACTAACCGATCAATCACTGTTTTTGGTAGAAATGATATTTCTACATGGCAAAATAATTTACTAGCAGGTGTAGTAGAGTAATAGAAATCCAACAGACCCAACAGTCATGACATGCATGCTGCTGATTCTGTGTAATTGAATAACTAATTGAAAGGGGCATGTTCAAAATCATAGCAGTGTGGAGTTCTAATTAGTGAGGTCATTCATTCTTTGAAAAACAGGTGGCAATTATTGCCCTTATTTAAGAAGGAAGGCAGCAAATGTTGTACATGCTGGTTACAGTGCATTTCTCTCTGAAATTCTGAGGAAAATGGGTCGTTCCAGACATTGTTCAGAAGAACAGCGTACTTTGATTAAAAAGTTGATTGGAGAGGGGAAAACATATAAAGAAGTGCAGAAAATGATAGGCTGCTCAGCTAAAATGATCGCAAATGCTATAAAATGGCAACCAAAACCTGAAAGACGTGGAAGAAAGCGAAAAAAACTACCATTCGAATGGATAGAAGAATAGCCAAAATGGCAAGGACTCAGCCAACAATCAGCTCAAGGAAGATCAAAGAAGATCTAACGTTATCTGTGAGTACTGTTACAATTAGAGGACGCCATGTGAAGCCAAGCTATCTGCAAGAAGTCCCCGCAAAGTCCCACTGATGAAAAAAAGATGTGCTGAAGAGGTTACAATTTGCCAAAGAGCACATTGACTGGCCTAAAGAGAAATGGCGCAACTTTTTCTGGACTGATGAAAGTAAGATTGTTCTGTTTGGGTCTAGTGGCCGGAGACAGTTTGTCAGACAACCCCCAAACACTGAATTCAAGCCACAGTACATTGTGAAGACAGTGAGGCATGGTTGCGCAAGCATCATGATATGGGGATGTTTCTCATACTACGGTGTTGGACCTATTTATCGCATACCAGGGATCATGGATCAGTTTGAATACATCAGAATACTTGAAGAGGTCATGCTGCCTTATGCTGAAGAGGAAATGCCCTTGAAATGGGTGTTCCAACAAGACAACGACCCCAAACACACCAGTAAACGTGCAACATCTTGGTTCCAGACCAACAAGATTGACGTTACGGAGTGGCCAGCCCAATCCCCGGATCTTAATCCAATAGAAAACTTGTGGGGTGACATCAAAAATGCAGTTTCTGAGGCAAAACCAAGAAATAGAGAAGAACTGTGGAATGTAGTCCAATCATCCTGGGCTGGAATACCTGTTCACAGGTGCCAGAAGTTGGTTGACTCCATGCAACACAGATGTACAGCAGTTCTCAGAAACACGGTGCTAAATATTAAGTGATTCAAAGGAAAGCAAAATCTTCAAACATTTTTCAGTTTATATAGTGAATGTTTGCGTTTGTAAAGAAGAATACAAACACTGCTATTTTTTGGAACAGTCTAATATTCACTTTTCTTCAATTTTTTTAGAGGAACAACACAAATTTGATATATTTTTCTTCATGTTTTGATTTGAATAGAATGTGTAGTGTTCCCAATGCATTTGTGTGTATGGAAATAAAAGCTATCAGAAGGATTTGAGCTTTATTCACTTTTTTCAACACACTGCTATTATTTTGAACACAATTGTAGGTGCGACATTGAAAGCCCAGCCACTCTAAGCCATGGCTCAAGTCTGGCACTGAGGACAGAGTAAAAATTGCATGCTTACCTGATGAAGTTAATTTCCCCTCGACATAGTTTTCTATAGGAGTTGTCCTTGGTTTCACAATGGCACGATTTCCTCTTAATGCATTTGTATTGAAATTTTACATTTTCAAATCTAGCATTTTGGTCATAGAACAAAACAGAGTGTAGATAAAATGTGCTTAAACTGACAGAGTAAATTGATAACCAACTACACAGGATTTTCAATTTTCACAACAGTAGGATATAGGTCTGGTGTATGATCTAGAGTTTGCACTGTTCCAAAAACCCTACATCTCTGTGTCGGAATCTCAGGGTCGGAGGTCAGGTAATCGCACAGAGGAGACAGACCCGGAAATAATAAGTATATAGGAAGAGCTGTATCAAAAGGTGGCAAGGGAGCGCGGGAAAGTGATAAATAATAAAGAGGGAAGGAGGAGGAGGGAAAAAAGGGAGTTTGGAAGAGGAGGGGAGTCAATCTTGCTCAGCAAGATGAATTTCCGCCTACAGAGGCCTAGGTAAAAAAGACGTTGACTCAGGCCTAGCTAGAAGAATTTAAGTTGGACGGATCTGGAGATAGTTATATATATATAGTGTGTGTGTGCGTGTGCGTGCGTGCGTGTAATTTTTTTTTTGTTTGTTTATCCAGGGGGTTGAATGAAGGAAAAAAAAACTGCACAGAACCCCACATCAACACAAGTGGTATTGATGCAGGGATCTCTCCTGTTGTGCTATTGTATTCTGACAGGTACAGTGAAGAGTACACATATACCAAAAGTTGTCTGGTTCCTGCTGAACCTGGATGACTTTTGGCATGTGTGTACTGTAGCCTGCTTTAGATAGTGGGAAGAATACAGTCAAAGTCCACTGGCATGTAGTGTGTAATCCAGAGTTCCCATGCTTTCTGGAATTTAGATTTTTTTCCCATGTCATGCACACATTAATGTGAAATTGAAGCTCTGCAAAAGGAATGTTTGGCTTTATCCTTGATCTAGCAATGGTCTGGTTTGCAGCAGTAAAGATATATGAGAGAGTTTGAATTCTGACTTTGAGTAATCAACTGGTTTTCTATCTAGAAGGGCCTCTACTGGTGTTTTCCAAGATGGTATATATTATTTGGTAGGTGTGAGACCAAAAACTATGACTTTTCAGATCATTCCACCAGATTTTGTCCAAATGTGCCATCAGCATTGCATCCCCTAAAACAGTTAGTAGGATATCCAGGAATCACGTGGAAGAGACCAAAGGGTACCAAGTACCATTGCATTGACACATTATTATTTGTTTCTGTGGTTAGGACTTTAAATGAACTTTTCGATGTGTTAGACCATATTTCTTGCCAGTCATCAGGGGAGCTAGTGATCTCAAGATCCAACTCCCAATTTTTGTTATATCTGGACGGCAAGGAGGAACATGACAAGACTATCAATGGGTAAATAGTGAAAGCAATCCTTGGAGCATGGGGATCAGTATTACAAATGTGTGCAAAAGTTGAAAGCGACATAGGGGTATCAAAATGTCAAAGCTGGGAAAATGTGTAATGTTTAATTTGAATATATTCAAATATTTCTCTAGGTGGCATGGTATGTCAGTTACTAAAAGATTCAAAAGACATTAATCCAGAAGGACTTAAAAGATTGTAATTTTGGCATAAGGTAAAATCTTTTCACCATGAGAAGTGGTTAGGGGGGTCCCCTAGGGTAAAAAAAATGGATTCCTCAAAAATGAGTAAAGGGAAAGATGAGCGGATACAATTTTGCCTGAATACTTGGCATTTCCCATACCTTAAATGAGTGGGAAGGTAATAGGATTAGGGAGATCTCTTCAAAAAATGGGGGAGTGAAATAAGAGCCTGAGTTCAGATAGGTGATATTGCGTAAGCTTACAGGCTCACCCAAAAAGGGATATTTTTCTGGGCATGAAGGAGAGCCCAATGCAAATGTGTGCAGGCTGAAAATATCAACGGCGCATTTTCACATAATTTGAAGCATATCCAGTTTACCCCATGCTTTTGTGATAAGAGAACCTTTCAGCAATTTTCTATCAAGATGATCACAGCATTTGTAATCTCTCAAGTGACCTTACCTTAAAGTGCTGCTTAGTCCTTTTGTTCTACTATGTCCACCTTTAGGTCATTGTTGGCCCTGATATAAATCTGCCAGAGAACACTGTCATTTCACTACATCATCCAGATGAGGATCAGGAAGATGATGATGACTTTAGTGATGATTCAGCCAGTGGTAAAGAGAAGGATAAGTTGAAAGTGAAAGGTAATAAGGACAATAACATGCAGGTTATAAAAATGTTAATGAAATATTGTCTCTTTCTAGCATTTTAGTATGCTCTTTTCACAGTTTACAACAAGGAGGAGGTTGGACTGAAAGGAGAAGGCTATGTGTGGAAAACTTCAGACATACCTGATGACATAGAGGAGGAGGAGGCCTTGCAGAGAAGTCTGTGGGGTGAGTAAGAAGCGGCAATGGGGAAATGTACATTGAAGTATTAATACCCAATACTGTAGATGTGGTGCTGTGTGTAATTTGTCTGATAAATTAACAGATCATGCTTCCAATAACTGACTTTTCTTGATAGCTGCCTTCTCCATTGCTGCTTGTCCTAGACTGTCAGATCTTCAAAAGTTACAGCTGCCTTCTCCATTGCTGCTTGTCCTAGACTGTCAGGTCTTCAAAAGTTACCTTTCCAGTGCTATAGTTTTTGACAGAACAGAAGTGGTTGGCTTCTTTTTTCTTTGGGTCCAACTCATGGAATCCCACTTCCATTATGAGTCTTATCCCTGGCCAGTTGCTCAATCCTTCCATCTTTTGTAGAATTCTTTTTATTTTTTACCCAGTTATCCGTGAACTACAGCTTTTGCGCTTTCTCTTTTTTTTCCCCCACATCAAGCTTCTACTTTCATAGTACATCCCTTTTGTCATATCATATCTTCTGTTCCAGCCCTCACCAAGCTCCACAATTTACTCCTTTCTGTGGGTATCCACTACAAGTAGGAGAAAGCATTTGAACGCTGAACTGACACTGGAGAAAGATCCAGGATGGTGAATTAAAGCAGAATGAACCCTTAAACCCAAAATCAAACATTTATTATATACTGCTTCACCGTGCCCTGCGGGCCCAGGTCTTAGATACAGTTCCTACCCTCCAGACCCTATCTGGACCCTTATCGCGGGTACAGAACCCACTAAGTTGTTTTCTGCCCTGTACAGTGCTTTGTGCACCCCCACAGTCACCTGCATAGCCAAATCTCGTTTGGGCTCCTTTTCTCGTTTATCCCAGGTTATTGGATAGACTCACGCAATTATACATTATGCATAGAGAGTATCTTGCTCCACTCCGGGTCTCTAGATGCTGTGCCTTTTTCTATCTGCTATGGACCTGTCTGATGATATGTTCCTGTTGGACACAAATCATTAAGTTACTGCATGACTGGATGGGCTCTCCACTCCAATTAGACCTTAAACCCTGTATATCTGGCCTTCTTCCTGACCCAGACGCAAGCAAATTTTTAAAATATTTTTCTATGCAAAACTCTTTTCAGTGCCTGGAAGCCTGTAGTGCATCATTGGAGTCCAGGCTTTTCTCATTTACTTGCTGGCTGTGATTTGGCAGCATTGGAAGCACACAGTAGAGGTATACGTTTGAATTTGTACAATTGCACAGGCATCTGTAATTTTTGCATACTGTGGCTGCGCATTGTAAAAATTATCTTGAGGTATATTTAGGTTTGTGGCTTCTCTGATCTGCATTAAAATCTATTGTTAAATATATTTTTATATACATTTACCTTTTATCCGGCTCCCTGTTATTTCCTAGTTGTTGAGCTTTGCCCATTGATTTCATAATTTTTGCATATTTTGAAAACATTTTAACATTTTTAAAAGTGACCTGAAAATTTAAAGCTGAAACCTTGTTTTATTTATATGGATGTTCTTGAGTTCTATGTGCAAAATGGTGCTTATCTAGTTAGGATTCTCATTTCTTTGTTAACCTCTTCACGCCAAGTGTACGCAAATATGCCTTTCGCCAGCTGGGTTTTGACGCTGAGCGGCCGCATATTTGCATACCATTTGTAAACAAAAGTGCTGAGAGCTTGTGCCCTGCGACACGTGTCGGCGTCCCACTGAAAGGTCCCGATGTGATCGGGACCTTTCTGATCAAGTGACTGCCGTGACAGCCAATCACGGCGTCACATGACCCTAAGCCCTGCCTCCCGGCATCAGAAACCCCTTAAAGGGCGCCTCACCAGCGTGAAGGGATTAAATTGTTAGACCTTCAGTTATGCACCAGAATGGATGCAAGAAAGAGAGCACCAACACTTTAAGTTCACATTGTACCAAGCGCTTTTTGCATTTCCTCCTTGTATATCACCCTTTTCTTTCTAATCCTAGGTCTTACCATTACCAATGAAGAGGACAGTGATAGTGAAAGTGGAAAGAGCACAGCTTCAGAGCAAATAGACAGTCGACCAACTTCACCTCTTCTAGATGACATTAAAGGTAATGATTTATAGTGATGTATCAGGAACATATTACATTTAAGTGGGTTGCTGTCTCTGTTCCAGTGTTTAGTTCTACTAAATTGCCTATAAAGTGTTGGAAGAAAAGAGTTCCCTATTCACAAAAATAATAATTTAATGAAATGGTGCCCTCCTCTGCTTGATTCCTATTTCAAATTTTTTTTCTCAATTTAGTTTTTCAGAATGAGGTTTTGGGAACACTACAGAGGGGCGTAGAGGAGAACATCTCATGTGAAAATCTGCTCCTAGAAATCAACTCTCTCAAGTAAGTTGCAAAATGTATTAAAAGGAGAAATGTGGGGTTAGTAAAAAAAAAAACCAAACCTACAAACTTGCCTTCATGCTGACATACTCCCATGACACTGCAGCCATGCCATGCTAATTTTAAGATCTGACAGATCACGTGACCGCTAGTATGTAAGCTCTCAATCTGCACCCTGCTCGGCTCCTCTAGCACTCAACGGAGCAACAGGCTGGGGAGGGAGCAGGCATGGCTGGCTCCTGCTTTCATCCATGTGCTGAAGGCACAGCTAGCTATATTATCCAAATCCTTCCTGAACATGGCACAGCCCTGCTCTGTCAGCTGATAGTAGTATATTAGTTGACTCTCTCAGGAATATATTAATAATCATACTCCACAAAACTGAACTCTAGCCAAAAAACAGTTATTTGCAATTTTGACCAAGATTATTACATAATTTTCATTCTCCGTAACAAACAGGACGTTTTAACAGCACATATTGTAGTGGGATAATCGTTGCAGTGGAACTTTATTCAGAAAATAAAGTCTTGCTAGATCACTTCAGGCTGGCCCCATTTGCAGATATAGCTATGTAAAACATTAAAAATTAAGTGCCTATACAGTTTAAAATCCAGTAATACACTGTCTCACCCTGGTCTGCACATGCTCAGTTGCTCTCCATTTTTAGGTACTATGCTGAATTTGTAGAAGCAGATCTTATGACAGTCTAAAGCCTGTACACACGATGAGAATATTGGACAAATGATTGTCCTTTTTTTTTTTTTTTTTATTGCATGCTAGTCTCATATTAAAGTGAAGTGGTTATGAAAATTCTTGTACGACCGAAAGAAAATTTGGAAGTGGTGTAATGTATTTATATTGTATTTTTGGATAAAAAAACTCTACTAATTAAACAAAAATCATACGATCTGGTATCGTACGAGAAACATTTTCGTGCTTGTGCCTTCAGATAATTTCAGACGAGAACTGTGTACTAAAGATCAGATTTATCGTACAGTTGCTTCAAAAGCGGTATTTTTCATACAATTTTCTAATCGCGTGTACTAGGCTTAAAGACCAGTTCACACTGTCTTGCACCAAAATGTATAGAAAATGGATGTACATTTTCATCAATTTTAGTTCGCGCCGACATCCGTTGGCATACATTTTTGATATCCGTTGACATGCATTTTAGCATGCGTTACAGCGTACTACACTTTCACAGGATACCCTGTGCATTGTGTTGACAGCCACTTACATCCGTTGCGCTAAAATGCATACATGTTGCGTTTTAGTGCAGTGCACGTCAACACAGTGTTTTATGGTGTGAATATCGCACATTGGAAGTTTTTTTTGTTTTTCAGCTGTCCTTCCGTTGATCTGTCTTTTACAACTGCGCAAAAATGCTGATTAACACACTGGCATGAATTGGCCCTAAAGATTATAGTAGAACTAAACTTAAATATTTAACAGTTTCAAAAAACGGTTACATTCCCAGTATGCCAGAAATGTAACTGTCACATTTGCTTGTGTTCTCAACCAACCTGTAAAACCATCAAAACACTGGCGTTATAACTGAAGACATGTGCAGCATCATGGCAGTTGCAGATTAAACAGAGGGCAGCTTCCTTGGCTGAAAAGGATAGGAGGATTTCACTGCTTTAACTGCTGTTCAGGGCTTCAACAAAATGGCAGCCTCCAGTAAGAGACTGGAGCAATGCTGGAGGCAATTTACAGCACACACTAATTTTGATAACATTCTTTAGCAAGGAACATACATTCCACATTAATAATTATGCTATTTTTTTTTATCAATCGTTATGAGTAAAGTTCTGCTTTAATATACCTTACACCATTACATTCTTTGTGCCATGCTCACCCTCTCTGCATCCTGCTGATTGACACAACAGTAGCTATAGAGGGCACCAGGAAGAGCGTACGTTGTATCTTGGAAACTGAGCTTTTAATTCTGGTTCAAACCTATGGGGTAAGACATGTTGAGAAATTATTTTGAGTAATTGGTTACAGACATAAGTCATGTGCTGTGGTTTTTATAATCATATGTGATTATGCTATATAGTAAATTAAGACACAATACAGTAATTCTAGGCAGAAATTTAAAAAAGCGTTTTATTGGAAAGCTGTCTTGAGAGAAATGTTTAGAATGCCATTGCTGATCTTCTGAGAATACTAGTTGCCTGGCTATAATACTGATAATCAGGCTTCAGTACTATGTCACTGGGGTTTATTTACTAAAGCTGGTTCACGCAGAATCTCGTGCACTTCTGCATGGAAACCAATCAGCTTCCAGGTTTCATTGCTAAAGCTTAATTGAACAACCTGAGGTTAGAAGCTGATTGGCTACCTGCTTTAGTAAATCTCCCCCACTGTCTTTAAACATAAGACGTGCAAGTGAAGCCAGAACTCCTGATATGGATACTTGTTTAAGTCAGTGATGAAATAAACAGTGATATCAAACGATTGTCATGGCAACCAGAAATTAAGCCTTTTCTAAAGCTGGTCAGAAATGACGACCTTGATATTTTTTGTGACAGATTTCAGACTGACTGTTTCTCAACAAATTTTATATATATTTAATACATATTTACACAACAATTCTCAAAATATAACCTCAAGATTGCAGGTCGTAATAGGCTCTGAAAAATCCCTATGGTTTCCGCTTTTCCTGCACAGA